CAAACCCCAAAACCCCAAAACCCCAAAACCCCTCAATTTTGGCCGTTTTGTAAATCTTTATGACTAATATTCTCTCTAAACGCTATTCATCAGCCACTGCAGATAATGAACCGATTCGAAAAGTCCCTAAATCTCCAAAAGGCCAAGAAGAGTATGCCAAATTGTATTTAAACACCTCAAAGCTAGTATTTCTCCTCTTCCTGACGCTAAAAGATTGTTTTGGTGCCATTTAAGCCCTTCATGAGCTCAACAGGTTGGCCAATAATGAACGTATTCAGTCCTTTCTTACCAGCAGCCTTGAAGTGTCTCATGGTCTACAATGTAGGTTAGGGCTAGGCTTGGGAAAGAGGGAAATAATGCTTAAACCAGATATTTTCCATGTTATCCCTTGCTTAAAGGTGATTTATGAAGTATATAAACCACACATATGATAGTTTTAGCATAACTTACTTGGATTTTATGGACTGAAGTGATTTTGATCTGATTACTTTCCTTATAGTAAAGATCCAAGTACAGAATTCGAGTGTCTCTGCTACAATTATGATCATAAAAATGAGAGCATTTTGGATAAGCAAAGTTGAAGTGAATAGGTTGGTCAGAGATTTAGCCCATTCATGCTCTGCAGTGTGCATCAATAAGTATACAACAATTATCGTAAAGAACAACTCATGTGTAGATTCTAAGATATTTGCTAGAGGTTCTTCAAGAGGTCTCGCAATGAGAATGAACAATAAATGGAAAATTGACAACAGGCAGATCTCCAAAGCTCACTTGTGGATCAGCATTACTTATAAAGATCAACCATGTGCAGAACAGGACTTTTTGAGTAAAGATGTGTGAGAGTGCATTCTTACTTTCTTGCTTTCCTTTAGATCTGCTAAAACTTATGAAACATATTTGGGTCTGTCTGTTCTAGTGAATTTGAAGTGTAAAGACTGCACTCAGATCAAATGATGAAATCAATGCAAAAAATCACCAAGATGATCGAGAAAATAAACGATGCTAACTCTGGTGATCCATCTTACAACCTGCCATGCTCGATGTCCGTAAAAGAGATTAGAAGCAGAAATTGAAATGTCTCATATAATGGTCTAATATAAATACTCAGCAGAAACAAATTAGCCAGCTCAGTTTATACTTTCCAATATTTAGTTCTGAATTTCTGATTTTCGTGAAAGGACTTTCATTTTGGGAGATAAATAAAAACCAAACGGTAACATATGATCAAAAATAGAGCTAGGGAAAAGCTAATGCTGCTCAAACTACTCCCAGACTCTACACCAATTGTCACAAGCCTTGACCTTGCTAAAAGAAGCATGAAGACGACTTTCTCTGTTCGAAATCAATCCAATCAGCTAATTTGTTCGCTAAAGGAAATTCTTGCTCAAGAATAACGGTGGTATTGATAGGAATAGAGCCTTCACCAGGAAGCATCCTCAATGCATCATCTGGAAGATAAGATGTAATTAAGACTAGTAGCTGGAGGATCTGTGCTTGGTTAAGAATATATCATAAGGTAATTAGAGCGCTTGCTCTTGTCAAAGATCCTACTCCTTCCACTATTCCTGTGCCTAATGAAGCATATGTTGAAGCTAATGCAATGGCTTCACCAAAAATTGACACCTCAATTATGTCCTGAGTCACGCACTTAGAATTTTTATTAAATTTGTAGCCTGAAGATTATTTCGATCAGATCTCCTAAATTGAAGTGTGATGGGAACAGTAAAATATTAGATAATAATTTTGGCTAATTATTAAATTGATTTTAGCTTTTAGCTAAATTATTCATATTCGATGTCATAAAGATATTCCAGAACCCATCAAAGATATTCATATTTATACTCTTTTATAATTGTATCTTTACAGAAGAACTTTGCTCTGATTGGTCACAAAACTGAGTATTACAGCTTGTGCTAGTGGAACCACTACTTGTGGTATCACACTCTGTGCTACTTTCATCACTCGTAACTGCATCAGGAGTGCAGATATTTCAGGAAAGTAGTTTTTGCAGTCCCAATTATTTCAAACCAGACAGGATGAACTACAGTCATCGGTTCTGACTGAGTTACCTCATCTCATTGCTCCTCTGAGCTAATGACTCCATCTTCTTAGCACACGACTTCAATGAGACAGTTAAAGGGAGAGACTGGACAAGTCGATTAATCTAACAGACATCCCTGTGTGCATCCGTCCGGTTTAATATATGAGTTTAGAGTTCAAAAATGAAATAGTTTTAAGAATGAGAGCAAGAACTAGCGATTGGCTTAACTTCTGTGGTTGTAAATGTACCATCATCTCACTTCTCAATGCTGTTAGAGTCCACTGTGTTGTCGCCTCACGTGGCTAGAGCTAGAGAAGAGGTAAATTATTAGCTCATGCACACATTAGGTCAAAATTTAGGAAGAATCTACGACTTAAGGACTTGAAAATAGTCAAACTAGATGAAGATGAACTCTTAAGTATAGTTATAGCTAAGCAGTTTGGCGCAATAAACATATTTTGACATTTTCTTTTATGGTTTCTAGTTCAGAAATATCACTTACAATTTGGTACATAGATCGTATTAGTGCTCACCCCTAATTGAAGAGAATCTTTGTAGGCAAAGCTATGGATGATTATCGGAGCAGGTCAGCTTGTGACTCAGCCAAGAATATAAGTTTCACTATAACTGCTTGTTTGGGTCAATTCCCCAATTAAAACGTCGTTGTCTCTGTTCTGATACACATATACAACTGAAGTGTAAGGAGGATAAGAAAGTAAACCGCCTCCGATCCTGTTCCATCCTTCTATAAAGTTAAAGTTAACACAGGATAGTAAAGTATAACAAATATTAAGATATTCAGCTCATTTATTAGATGGATTTTAAAGAAGCTTCTTTGCTCACTTCCCAAGGATGTTCCAAAATATCAATTAATCTATGAATAAATATTACTGATGATATCTCCAGCCAGCTTGCTATTCCCTTCTCCTGAGAATTCTACTTTTGGTGTAGCACCTGTATCTCCCAAGTTAGTACTTAAATAAAAATTGAGATTAACAGAGCAAGGAAGCCACTTTAAATCTTTTTATTGATGCCAGTAGCCTTATTGCTTTGTGGGGAAATTCTTAAACAGAAGTTTTAGCAATAAAACCAGGCTGATACTATTGGTGTTTTACACCAACAATTGATGAGGAATTCATGAAAACACTCTTCTTCAAACCGAACATGAAGACTTGAAAGAAGTAAAATAGCAATTCAAGAAGAGATTTGCGCTAAAATATTAGATTTTATACGAAATTGGTTCATTGGTCAATAGAGTCTAATTTTTGTAATCCCAGAAATTTATAATTAGTATTAGATTCCAACTCCATTTGCTTACCAGAGACAATGCTGAAGTAAAAGTGTTTCAAACTTCCACTAACCTAAATGATTAGTCAAAGGAATTACATCCGTGACTGAAGCAGAGAGCCTGAAATCGTCGATTCCGAAGGAATAGACCCACATTTCTGTAGAGTATCCGCTAATTCTAGCAGTAAAATATCCGTTCTAAGTTAACTGTCTGTAAAAATGAAACACAAAACTTACTGTGAAGACTCGAATAAGAGACCTTGGTTGATGAAGGTTGGGTTTGAAACCTTTATATAACACTGGGTTATTTATTCACTAGTAAGAGCAAGATATCAGGCCAAAGAAGAAACTGCTAGTATTTAGACACTCTAGGAATGCCTACTAATCTTGTCTTAAATATTAACATCTTTGAAGCCAATAATTGTATCGAAGAATAGACTCAGATATTTTTCAGTTAAAAGCTAAATTTAGTTATTTTATAAACTTACCGCCAGGAAATGTGAAGGTAGTGCTCCTTTATTCTCGTTGGAGTCTACGAAGCTATTTGGAACTGAGCTATAATACTCATAAGCAAGTCTTATCTCTGTTTGGAGAAGAGATATTTATTGTGAGCACTGCTTCAATATTTCAAGAAGATCACCAGGATGACCAAAGTTCCTACTTAACCCAATTTTAAATTGGCTCAAAGCATCATTTATACTCAAACTAACTAAACCCTGTAATTTCAGGGATATAGCGAAATCCTATAGATTAAAATGGTGGCTTTTATAGCATGGCAAAATAAAGGTTTTCTGGGGCTTGGAGTGTCCAAGCACTCAAAATTTTATACTAAAACAAACAAATTTTACAAATCTCTAAAACCAAATTTAGCTGACCATTCCAAAGATGGTTGCTTTAAGTTTGCTTGCATAATGAAGATGTAAGAAAATCCTCAGTATAATCTTAAAATTGTGAGATCAAACCTCAATGGAGCAGATAACTCAAATTGCTTTTAAAAATGCCAGAATCAGCTGCCTCCGTACCTAACAAAGCTGAGGTTGATATTTAAATACAATAATCTAAAGTTTCTGTGCGCACAAATCAATAGGGTTCTAATATCTTATAATGAACTTATTGACGACAATACTCTAATAGGATTAAAGAGAGAGTCATCAACTCCTGATCTGGCATGATAATGCCTCTGCATGAATATTCTCCTGATTTACCTTCTAAAGGACTCTTACGATAGGAAGTACTAAATATTTATCTTAGCAATTCAGGTATGTTTAACAAGTCTCTAGATGTCTCCAAAGCTCAAGGTCTCAAAGAAGATGCCATCTTTGGATTACTTGAAGTATAAACCAAGAAATGGTCTCCAAAGAAATGCTTTATCCTTGCTTAAGCTTATTTTTATAATTGACATTTTACCTATGAATATTATTATATTTACAGGATCAAAGCTTTTTTGTATTTGAGGGGTTTTGGGGTTTTGGGGTTTTGGGG